CTTAGCGAAGCCACTTTCAGTCCCGCCACGTACTTGGCCCACTTATTCTCCGCCATTAGCCTATGATTCTCTAGCCTAGTGAACTCCTTCTTGATATCATTAATTAGCCCCTTGAGTATGTTGTTCGTGTTAGTGGATTTCTTCCCGAATTCCACTGCCTCGTTAATAGTTTTCTGTACCGACGCCGCCAGTATTGCTCCCTCAGTTTGAAGCTTTCTGATATCTCCCAGGTCGCTCATGGTAGATTTCGGTGACACGATAACAGTTTCAGTGTCGTACCCGCTAGCACGTCTTGGCCTTTTCGTCTGGTTTCGCTCCGACCCGTCCGTGTCGCTGTCAGTGCTCGATTCCGTGTCCTCCCGTTTCCGCCTCCCCTCCATCGGCGTCTCGGATCACCTCCTCGTTGTCATTACTACCCGTCGGCGCTTCCCTTAAGGGTGGGGTCCGTAACGTCTTCGGCTGGCCAGCCCACTGAGTGTACATCGCGCTTGCACTATTGTCCACGGTGTTCTTGTCTATAACCTAATCCTAAACGTATGGCTACTACTCTATATACAAGTTTTATATTTACACTCAACGCTTCAGTCCACTACGCGCAGGGGTTGTTCTCGCCCCCTCGAGTGGGGTGTCGTAATACGCGGAATAGGACAACGAGTCCAACCCCGCTTACCCCTCGTCAATCTGACCGCCCGTTCCGTCTGTACAACCCTATCAGTTTTCCTTCCGCAGGGATAGATAAGGCTGCCGCTACCGAGCGCGCTGTCCGATAACACCGGTCGCCTCTTCTACGGCAAGCTCTTCCTACGGCCTATCCGAGGACCCCTTGCTCGCTCCTGTAACTCCACTCCTTCCGCACCCCGTCAACGCTTGGGGTTGATTTCGCGTGGCGCAGGGGTTGTTCCCACCCCCCCGTGTTTGGTGTCAAAATACACCTCGCGCCGTCTCCAGTCGAACCCACCCGGTCCCGTGCGGCTATCTAACCCCGTTCCGCCCCCGCCGACCTATCAGTCGCTATCGTTCCAAAATTGATAGGCCAGTAGCGCCTCGGGGCGTGCGCCGATAAGAACGACCCGGTGCGGGTTGGGCTTCCTATGCTAGGGCCTACCTTATGATACCCGGCAGGTCCTTATCGGTGTCTTCCTTCCGCAGTTCGATTCCACGTGGTCTCGTTGTAAACAACACAATCCGTCTCAAAACTTAAAATTCAGTAACACCTGAACTATCCGTCCGATCGTAACGATTCTTGCACCAAAAAATTTGTTTTTTTTGCGCGCATCCACCAATACTACACACGTAATTTTCACGTTTGAATTCGACGCTACGCGATTTTGAGGCACGGAGCGCTCCAAAAACACGTCTACTCGCTGCAAAAACCCGTGCGCGACTAACTAACCTAACCTAACCTAACCTAACCTAACCTAACCTAACCTAACCTAACCTAACCTAACCTAACCTAACCTAACCTAACCTAACCTAACCTAACCTAACCTAACCTAACCTAACCTAACCTAACCTAACCTAACCTAACCTAACCTAACCTAACCTAACCTAACCTAACCTAACCTAACCTAACCTAACCTAACCTAACCTAACCTAACCTAACCTAACCTAACCTAACCTAACCTAACCTAACCTAACCTAACCTAACCTAACCTACCTAACCTAACCTAACCTAACCTAACCTAACCTAACCTAACCTAACCTAACCTAACCTAACCTAACCTAACCTAACCTAACCTAACCTAACCTCTAACCTAACCTCTAACCTAACCTCTAACCTAACCTCTAACCTAACCTCTAACCTAACCTCTAACCTAACCTCTAACCTCACCCCCTATTACCCTTCCCTTTGGTCGTAAAGGGGTAAAAGTTGTACCGGAGACTTTCTAAGGTCCGTACAAACGTGTGTGCCAAATTTCGTCAATTTTTAATTTTTTTGTCATCCCCTAAATCGCCCTCTAGCGCCCTCGTTTATATATGCCCCCGAACGTTTTATGATTGGATTTTTGCTTTTTCGACGAGATCTATCCAACGCCGGTCGAATTTTGAAAATCGGACGGTAAATAAAAAAGTTTTTTTTTTAAAATAGGAAGGGGGGACCAAGGGATGATTATGAAAAAAATTTTTTGTCTGCGATTTGGACCGTAATTTTTTTGTGCGCTCTACTCGACCGGCGTTTAAGAAATAAGTAATCCGTTCCTCGATCGGCCTTTTGGTTTTTGAGAAAAAAATTTTTTGAAAATTTTGACAAAATTTGGCAATCTTTGAGAGGCTGCCCCCTCGTTATTCGCGAGTCGATCTTAAAGTGTG